CCACAAGAATGACGATCCATACAATGATAATCATTCATCAACATGATATGAAAAGATTGAGGAAAAAGTTTTGGAAATGAAGATCATTAGTAAACTTGACTCGCGGCCTTAATGATTCCATGAAACTAGGAAAAGTCGAAGTTGGAAAAAGTCAATGGTTGGTAGTTCATGGAAGGAGTAAGAAGCAAGTTCAACTCATTATCACAGATTATTTGATAAAAATACACGAGGTGAGAATTATCATTGATTTTGGAGCAATAAAAATTTTTCTATCTATGAGTATTTTATGAAATTAGATTTGATATCGATGTAGGATTTGAGTGAGGAAGTGAAATTGCCAAACGAGCAAATTGAAGTTATAAAAAAAATAACACAAAGTGTAAAATTACATAGATAGATATGAAAAGAGCATTGAATTTATTTCCCTCGATATGATATCATTCTTGAAATGTCATGAATGGAGCAATATAATACGAAGTTAGATTGGAGAAAAACAAAATAACAAGTAGTGGTTGAAAGATCTATGGAAATAAAATTAAATTTCAGAATAAAAATTTAACTTTTTTTGAGATTGGTAAAACATCAATTTCGAGAAATGATATATGTTTTCTTGGACTTATAAAAGATATTGGATCCATAAATAAATTTTAAATCCCGGATTCCTTAAATCACATTTTTAAGGAGTATAAAGATATTTTTCTAGATGATCTACTTGCAGGATTATCACTAAAGAGTTGAGTAGATCACAAGATTGATGTGATACATGAAAGTCCATCAATTGCTAAAATCTAAATCGTTTATCTCCAAAAGAATTGAAAGAATGCAAAGCTCAAATGGAGAAATATTGAGAAAGAATTCATTTAACCAAATGTTTCATCTTATCAAAAATAATCTCATGAAATAAATATTATCTACATAAAGAAAAAAGTGAATAAAGAAATCAAAAAATTTTGATTTTTTTTTTGGTTGTATATCTTGTGAATTTCAAATTGGCATAACTTTCTATCTGAACGTGATCTCTTAGTGAAATTTGGGTTGACAAATAACTCATCTTCAACTCTAGTACAACATGTAGTATAACTTGGAAGTAAATACTACACTCAACTCTAGAACAACACGTAATACAAGTCTGTAGTACAACTTGGAAGTAAGTACTACACTCAACTCTAAAACAACATGTAATACATGTTTGTAGTACAACTTGGAAGTAAATACTACACTCAACTCTAAAACAACATGTAATACAAGTTTGTAGTACAATTTGGAAGTAAATACTACACTCAACTCTAAAACAACACGTAATGCAAGTTTGTAGTACAACTTGGAAGTATATACTACACTCAACTTTGATTACAGTAAAAATCTATAGCACTCAAACCATTTATGGTTTTTCTTTCTGACTTAAACTCACACAAAACATTAAGTACATTGTAGTCTTAAGCCTCAAATAAACTCCACAACACTGTCCATACAACTATAACAAACATGTTTGTTATAGTTGTATAACAAACATGACCATCGAACTCTTTCAACAATAATGTGATGATTGGAAAGGACAAGTGGTACTTTTGGGTGCTAGCATTCAACTTCATACAGTCTACACACTCTTAGTCTTGCATTCTTCTTCTTCACTAACATCAGCTATATTTGAACATATCAAGTCGTGTCATTTCTCTAATATTAATTTAGAGCTTCATTGTGGTAAGTTTCGATTGCCGGACAAATCCCACCTCCACAATCACCTTTGCCAAATTTCATCCCATCCCGTCGCATATGCCGAATCCAATCTAGTGGAAGATGCAGCATCATAACTTGAAAGACTTTCAGCTTAGCAGTTGCTATCCCTGCTATGAAGGACCCACGCTTCTATAGAGGAATTGATATTTTGATAAGATATTACTCTTCTGCTTTGTTGAAGCCCAATGCCAAACAGCGACAAATACGTTCTTCCAAAAGACACGTGTTTGTGTCTACCCGCTACTCCAGACGACAACGGGTGCCCTACTTTGAAGTCCTAAACCAGACATGGAGGATGAAAATCTGCTAGTAGAACCTGAAACAAACTTTATTTCGAAAAGATAACTCCATATGCGTGCAATAATTTGTTTCAAAGCTTCTACCGCAACACGGATATCATCAACAATATAGACGACTTCATCGGTTTGCATAGCGTATCTCGGTAGCTGAAATTTGGCGAGTATACGAATAGTAGCACGACTAGTTTTTCTCATGTATGCGATGATGCTACTATCCCTTTGAAGGAGGCAGCCAATTTGGTTGGTTTTAGTAATTATACCATCTCGGTCAAAACCCAAATCCACTATTCTGCTCTATACGTGCAATACTGCTTCATGTGCCGAAGAGATGTTGTTGTTGGGGTGCTTAATAGTAGAAATAATTATAACACGCTCATTTGAACCTAGAATTGGATAAGAAACTTTGATACGCAGATAGTTGTACTCTTGAATATTGTGGTTTATACTTCCCTTTTACCAATAACGATGCCAATTTTTTTTCCATGATACAAGATGCAAAAAACCAATCAATCCTACACCGGAGGATGACAACCCTGGTGTAAGGCACTAGAGTCTAGAAGCACTGGTAAAGCTTGAGAGTTGAAAAGAAACCTCCATCACCGCCTTCGCCAACAAATGGAGTATTTTCCTTTAACCGAGTGGATGTAGCTTGCAATGCTTTCTTCACAACAGACAACAGATGTGGACAAGCTCGTCAAAAGGTAAGGCTCAACCCGGTAGCTTTTCTTTAGTTAGTATCCTGATATGAGCACTGGTTTCATCGCGCATTTGTTCGACAATCTTGCCACCCTTACCTAGCAAGCAGCCAATCTGATTATTTGGAACTAACAAAAAGTATTCATCAAAGTTGGTTTCCCGTCCTCGTCTTCCTCTTGAGATCCATTGCTTCCTGTACTCTCCATATTTCTAACGTGAACTCTAAATAGAGCTTCTTGGGCTCGTGACTGGTTCAGGTCCTCTCTCTCCGTGACATCTCTTTTGCGCTCCCTGCCTTCCCTTTCCCTACCATCACTTCTTCCATCTCATTCTATAGAGATATCTTCACTCTCACGATCTTCACAATTCCGTGCCCTTACCCTCTTCCTTTCGCGTTCTTGATTTCTGTACGAGGCCAAGATAAAAATCACTCTCTTGTTCACGCTCGTCCACAATTTTTATCCTGGCACCAATTTCCTTAGTTAGAGCTTTGAAGATACTTCATTGGTTGCAAATGACGCTTCCTGTTTTTGATCCTGAGTAGAGGATCCTAAACACGGTCTCATCCTTAATAGGCTTCATAGGAGGAGGAGGTCCACGAGAATGCGACGACTAATGACGCTTGTGTTTTCCATTAGACTCTACAGAATCGTGCTCGTAGTGAGAGTGGGGCATTTAGCTGGAGAGATGAAGTAAGAAGGCAAGTGTAAGGAAAAGGAGGAGGCACTTTCAGAAAATCGTCAGAAAAAAGGGCTAAGGCACCGAGCACAACCCAACACTCCTCGACAAAGCATTAGCCTCCTCGCCATCAGTGCACAATGAGACAGCTTTTCTGACTGTTAAAAAAGTATGCAGGAGCTTAGTTTTCCACTCTCCGTTGGCCAAACAACAGTAGGGGACAAATTTTCTTTCGTGAAAAGACGGAACGGGAGATTCTACAACATCCAAGTGAACTTTCTCAAATCAGCAATTACTGCTCCCCATACACATTCCTTTCGCCCCATGGGCCGACACTAAATCACAGTCTTGCTTGCTGTAAATTTCAAACTCTCCTGAACCCACAGCGCCGACGAGGAATTGAGCACGTCTGTTCAAGTCACTGCTCGCCCGCGGCACAAGAAATGAAGTCACCGATGATAACTTTCCAAAGCAGCACCACCTCCTCCACAACACGCCACAGCTGCTTCCACTTCCATCCCTAGCCTTCCTTCTCTCCCTCGCCATCCTCGCATTGGAGACCTCCTAATTTAGACAGTCAAATCCCGACTAGACTAAGAACAGTTTATGGTGTTCTATAAATTGTGGTGCTTTTTATGCTTTCTCGTCCTCCTAATTACTAAATCAACGCTAATTCAAAGATTCATTAATAAAATTAATTTCAAATGTGGACACATAATTGGAATTACATAAGACTTCGAGAAGTTAGTCAAACAATCTTCCCATGGCTAGATTGGCCATGGGAAGACTCTCTTGACACGTGAAATCTGATGGACCGAGAATCAGCCGTACCCTCGAGATTGTCCATTGTGTAACACATATTGCTGTCGAAGTCAGCTGTAGGTGTACCAGTGCAATTCCTCTGTGGGTTGCCTTACTTTGTACTGATGTCGTTCTATCTAAACTGTAGTTTGCTAGTTTGCCACTAATGATGTGATTTTTATGCCTTTAGAACGCATAAATAACTTTTTCATTAGAAGGTACATAATAACTACGATGTCACATGATAAAACTGAAATGTTAACTTTAATTTTGTAGGAGGAAATGCCTATTCACTTTCGAGACATAATGAAACATTGTGTGTTTGATTACCACTTCAATTACCTGAACATTCTTCTCCTGGCCGATGTATAGGGTATGGATCGGACACAAGGGACCATTTGGTAAATGTCATAAGAATTCCGACAATAAGGGCTGTGATGATTTAAGTTAGTGGCAAGATTAGCGAGTTTTAAATCCTAGGAGAGAGATAAACCTGTATTAGTCTGATATTCAAGATGGGTCGACATTTGCGCTAGCATTGAAATCATAAGCATGAAGGACTAGTAGAGAGATACATCTTTGTTTCATTTATACCAAGTGATATGGAGGGGGATACGTTTTTTAATACTCGGAAATGTCACTGCTTTTATTACAATAGAAAACAAGAGATACGGCCGTAGGAAAATATCGTCCTTACCACATCTACATCTGAGATATGTTAAACCGGTTTCTGATCTCTTAGGGAGATTTGAGTGACTGCTAGACGTACCCCGCTCCCCCCCGCCCCAAATAAGATTCCATAAATAAATTATTTAGTGTTAGATGTGAACAAAAAGTCATGCTAAATGAGGATAGGATCTTGTAAGTTGATGATGAAGTTGTTGTAGATTGTGATACTTTGAACAATTGCTAATGTTTATAATGTTTGCATGTGTAAAATTATTTACAACTCTTCGTCTATAGTAGAAATTTTTAATGAGATATGTACATCTCGTGAACCGAAGTTCGGATTGACGGCTCTATTTATCTACGGGCCCCAGTTTTCTGTTGGGGGTCTAAGTGTGGATGGCTATCTATCCGTGGGAATATCATGTTACTAAGCGCACTTTTGGATCAGTGGAAAAATGAGATGGCTGTGAGCGCGCTCAGGATGTCTCCTACCACATGAGAAGAATGTCCGAAAGTGTTGGTGGCCGGAGATTCAGAAACTGTAAGTGCAAAATTTGCGGCCTCTGCGATCGAGGCCGATCCATCGACAACGTTTGGTTGGGTAAGCTCGAAACTTAAGCTTCCAGCCGTCGTGAAAAGAGCACCAGCGACCAAATGGACTGCGTTCTCCGCTCCAACTTGCAGCATCCGCTCTGCTACGCTAGCTATGTCCACAGCTTGCATAATGTCGGAACTAGCAGCTATGAGGGCGGATTCTAGTCCACTTGTGACTGTTGTTGAAACATGTCCCAGGAGGCCAGAGACGCTGTGTGACATATTCGACACGGTGCTGTACTCGTATACTTGATGAATGGGGATATGGAGTCCTCCTCCTGCTGCTGTTGTTGTGGTTGTATGAGCTGCAGCAGCAGCAACATCCACCTGAGCCGTCGGACTTATGTGAGGAGCCGTGAAATTGTTTGATCCCGTTGTCGTCGACGTCAAGGGTACAGCAGAAGTGGACCCGGGAGTGATTGGGGACGCAGACAACAGACTGCTGGTGGATGCCCCTGTGAACATGAATCCCAAAGACTTCAACGCTCCGAGCTTGAGCTTGATCTCGGCCAGGAGCCCCTTGGCTTGAGCTGCATAGTAAGGGAATTTCAGTTGAGAAGTGAGCAACCCGGCTGGGAAGTAGTCTGGACCACCTGAACAGCTCGAACCTTCGTCTGCGTTCTTGCTGATGCTCGTCGTTGAAGACGATTTCATCGATTCGTCAGAGGACTTTAGCGGAGGAGGAGGAGTCCAAGACGAAGATGGCGTTTTATAGTCTTCATCTGTGGAGATAATCTGGGCATAAATGCTCGTGACAGCGATGACAAGTCCTCCCATGATTGCAGAATCAGTGGGCACATCATGACTCGTGAAGTAAGAGAGGAAGGCACCCCACACAGGAATAGTCGTGTACACCAAAGTCGCCGTCGATGCATGAACAGAACGCAATCCACGGAGCTCCAGCCAACTGCTGAGGCCGGAGCAAACGAGCCCGTTATACAACAACGGAATCCATGGTATCGACTGTAAGGCACCCCACACGTCAAGAGGACCAGCGAAATCTGCGAACACTTGGTGATTTTGGTAACTCAACGACGACGAAGACTGCATACAGGCGCTGCACACCTCCCAACCCAAACTCAGAATGGCAAGCACTCCAAATTGCACACCGCTCAGCCGCAGTGGATCGAATCGCTCCCCATGAGCCTCGGATCTGAAGATGTGAAGCGCAGATATGGCCGCAACTGCCACACCCCAGAGATCGCTGATCTGGGGACATGTGACACCTTTCCAACCTACTCCTTCCTCCTCCAAAATTCCCATCCCTGTCATGAGAAGGAATCAGATTCTTTAGCACAGGAGTGAACGCTCGTCGAGATCAAAACGACTGTAATCTGATAGCTTTGGACCACTGCAGTATTTTGTGATCTATGAATAGTTGCGCATCTGAGCATCTGAGCCTTGCATAGAACAATAATGTACTATCCGAGCATATTAGGTTTGGGCCTACCGAGAATGGCTGCTGCAAGAGTCGCGAATCGTGTTAATTTTTGGCTCGATTGACGACCTGAGAAGACTTCCATTAGAGGAACAAAAATCACCTGCACGCATGAACAAGAGCAGTTGTAGTGTGTAAGGACCCTGAGTGGACGTGCAAGATGAACCTTCTTATTCGTCTTCAGCCAAAATTCTTTTCTTCTGAATCAATCTGATCCTCCATCTCTAAATAACATTTCTATAGAGAAGAATATTCGCTCATGCATATGCGTACATGGCAGTATCTACTGACAAAGGCGACCGATCGAACAAAGGAAGGGCATCATTGCGCATCTACGTTACGTAGAAAAGATCTCACAGAAGGAGAAGGGTGGGAGGGATGAAGTGATTAACATACCGTGAACGCGAACAGGATCGATGGAATGCTCGATGACGATGATGCTTGGCCGGGGTTGCAAGAGTCAACGAAGCACGCTGCGAATGCGATGATGCCAAGTTCAGCTCCTGCTCGAAGAAGTTGGATTTCGCGGTTTTTCACCGCGCTGACGAGCGCCGGAATGAAGAAGAGGAAGGCAGATGAGAATCGGACCAAAGACGTGAGACTCGCAGGCAAGCCCGGAGCAGCTTCGGCCACATATCGGTTTGCGACATTGCTCGAGCCGTAAACGGCTGCGAGTCCATTTAGCAAAATCAAACTTCCGATCCTTCTTGCTTCTCTCTTCTTCCTCCATAATTTGAGAAGCGTTGTCTCCGTTCCACTCCCTCTTCTCCCCCTCCGCTGCTCGGACATCCCGAGCTCGGCTGGAGCCGATGCTGGTATGATCGCGGAGGAGTCGGATTGCGATGCTGCTGCTGTAACTTGTCCATCTGATGCGATGTAGTGAGGGACCAACTGCATAATTGAGATCCACAGAAGAAGAGATTCAGACGATTGTCAATCAGTCTATTCCAAAAGTGCCATCCAAGGCGAGATGATGTGGATTGAGTATAAACCGTTGCCATTAAGACGAGAAACAGTTCGAGCTCCGAAAACAAATATGTGAACACTTTGTATCAGATTGAGACACAGATAATATGAAGAGACTTGAAGGTATCAAACTCACCGACATGGAACTCGAACGCGAGAAACAGTCTTCCACATTCTCCAGAAAGTTCAGCTCTTCCACCCTCTGTCCTGGACGCGATTGTAGGCGACCCAAGGAAATTGCTTTTGCCGATTTCCACAGAAGAGCGTCAGAGCTTTTGTCTGAGTAAATTGATACGTGGTCATTTCTGATACGGGGCTGAGATAAGCGCTCCTGCGGCTGCTGCTGCTCGATCTCAAGTGTCAGGGACGGAACAGCTTTAGATGGACGGATCCGCGTCGGTCCACCTTTGTTCTCCGAAGCTCGGCCGTAAGGCTTGTGTTGATCAAGAGATCGACTCTTGATGCGCAGATACTCTTCACTAGTGAGGTCAAATCCGTCCCCATGTTTCCCTACTTCGAGCAGCTTGATGCATGTGTCTGACCCACGTTGTTGAGTGCAATGCACCGAGACGAATCCAAGCGTAGAACGAGATTTACGTATGGGACATAGTGAACGATCGTTTGCTTGCAGCCTCCCGAAAAGTTTTGACCGACTGAGCATTCCCACCCTGATCGCTGAAATGTTTGTACAACTGTGCACCGAGGAGCAAATAAGAACAATAGATAGATCGATGTTCCGCCGCTGAAGACTCCTTCCGATGGAAGACCGATCGATGCTGCTAGAGGTTCTCAGAGATTTATATGATAATACAGGGATTGCCTCGGCTGATCGAGCTGATCCAAGGAACCAGGCGCCTCACCGTAAATCTTAAGAAAGAAAACATCAAGGCTTCGCTACAAACAGGCAGTCAGGCATTTATCTCCTCAGGAACAAGAGAGAGCTGGATAGAGAGCCCAAACAATCCCTGCCGACAACTCTAGATGTACTAGCACTTCTCTCGAGGAGGTCAGCTTGAAGAGATGCACAGAGAGTTGGCTGGCCTGGGATCGGCTGGGCTGGCTCCAAGTCTCAATGCAACGTACTGAGATGGAAGAGAATGGTAGTCCATCAGGTTCTATATACCCGTAGAACCTGATGGACTCGTAGACGTCGAGGACGTCGAAGACGAAGTATAGCCGCAGACCAGTGTTGATTCGAAAAGTGCACCAGCGGGCGAATCTTCCGAAAGTACGTGAAGGAATAAGGAAGGCCGGAGTCGATGTCCGGTGTCGTGGACCCGAGGCTTCGCGTTTGGCGGCGACGAGTGGAAGACGCATGCGAATTACCGCGAGCCCCCCGAGGCAGGTCAAAAGCGAAGCGAACGGCGCACAATACAATACAGCGTAAAACGTGCAGATTTCGAGTCCGCGTACGACCGTCGACACATTGTCCAGGTGCTGTTCGCGGACTTTGGTTTGGGCAGACGGCCACAGTCTGCGGTTAATACACGGCCACTGCCCTTCCTTCTACCTTCCTCCCCTCCCCTAGAGAGCCTACGCAGGGCAGAAGGAGGCGACGAAGGGAGGCCTACAGCACCAGGTGCCTCTGGGGCCGCCGGACGTTTAACAAACGCAAACACACAGCCAGCCAGCCAGCCAACTCACTCTCGATGCCGACCCTCCATTTGCTTGCTTACTCTCTAAGATGGGAGGAAGGAAGGCCTTTCACACCACACCATGCCAGACCACTGGCGGCGGGCGTATGTTGTAAGTCAATGCCCACTGATTGAAGTCGTCTTGCGACTACAAGTCCACAGTCAGCTCCAATTTGCAGTGGATCCAAGTACGTACTGATTGCGGTTCGAGTCCTGCATGGTGGGAACGCACACACGGGAATATAGGGGACTGCATCAATTGAACAACTATCCTCGTCAACTTTATTTGTGAAATCATTGTTCGACACTTTTTCACTGCAAAAGCCATCCTTGTTATTGTAGAGAAAGTAGGGAGAGCTTCCTACTCCCTCCAAAACGAAAACATCTCAAGTGTGTTGATTACTACTGTAACATCATCTATCACGAGAGATGAGATTTCGCTCACACGATTTATATGATAAGTCCGTGTTAATTTACGCTTTGAACCGGCTTCTATGGTTTTTATCAATTAAGGTGCTACAAATCGTTGATGGACTTGGCAAGATATTTATCACATCACCGCATGTGGTAGATCTGCACTTTTTTTTCTGTTTGTGTTTCTGATGTTTTTGCACTGACAGATGCGAGAGAATAGCAATCCTCCACATGAGGATTCGCCAAGCCCAGCGTTCACTTTTGGCATTACAGCAGCCGTAAATTGGTACATCAGTATTGTACTTCGTCTTAACTTACATGCAGAGTAATAAAATAAACGTGTAACATATTTTATATGATTTCAGCACGTTGCGTGTGAGTCATAATTCTGATTATATAAACCATGTATGTACTGTACAGCCTATATGAAATAGGCTTTGTGAATCACAACGAGAATCCCAGTAAAACCGTGAAGACCATATCAAGCCGCATGGGGGCCTACCCCCTGGTAGACCCGATTAGTGTCTCTATTGAAATAGGCTTCCCACTTTTGGTAAGCCTAGATGAAAACCTCCATCTATTCCCATACTTCATTACGTATAGGAAGCGTCGTTGCAAAGGGGGCGCGGATTCGATTATAACTTAGAAATGAAGGACTTGACGAACTCTTTTCAAATAATACGGTTATTATACGATTGAGACTCTTAAGTTAAGAGTAAAGATATTAAGTTAAGGGTGTTGCTATGATAACTGAATCAATTCAGAAATTTGGAACACTTCCTTATATATTGCGATGTAATATTTTTATACTTATAAACTTTAGACTTTTATCAGGAATTTTTAATTCTTTCTTCTAACGCATGGAGATATTCAATCTTGATTATCTTTCGATACATGCTTGGTTCAAATATTCAAGCGAAACTCTTGTTTGACTTTCTTTTTTGTGATGATTTGCAATTTTTAAAAGCATTTTTACAATTTTATTTATATTTAACATGATATTTATGTTTTTTTTTTCACATGATGATAATCATGAGGTGGAAGAAATATCAAAGTTCTTTTGATTTTGGTTTTCATGAATCGTGTTCAAAACTAGGCGAAAGACCATAGGTGCGATTAGCATGGTGAACTTTATGTCTCTTATGCTTTCTTCGTTAGTCTAAATCTTTATAGTATTTTTCATATTGTACTAACATGCTTGAAATAAAAGATTAGATTCATTGAAAATAAACCAGAACGATTCAAACAAAGTATTTCATATCATCATGACCACATAAAAGAAAAAAGTTGCAACCGTGTCAGACAATCAAGGCAACTTACATGGAGGTGTCTTGAAAGTTATCTTGTTGCCTAATATCCTTGAGTCAAATCTGGAACAACGAGAATTAGATTCTTCCTAGTTACAATATGGAATTCAAAAAAATTGCAAGGCATTGCCGCAAGTGCGAACTCACTCTACCAAGCCGTACATAATATTTTACAGTCCTGGCACATGCCGAAAGAATCATGTAGGGGTGCGATGGCAAGTCCTCCCATTTACTCTATTCCAGACGGACCCAGTTTTGTTTACTATCAAGATTTTCCAAGGGAACAACTATATTGAGCAAATCCTCATCTCACAAAATAGAAAAGGAACATTGCTCTCTCTCAAATGGTCGAAACTTTCAAGTAAATACAACCTTCATAGCATAAACTTACTTCTTTATAATGTAATATATCTTCCGGCTTTTTACAGCAACTTTATCATACAACGACACTTATAGCCCACCGTATATAGTTTAGCTAATAAACAGCAAAGAAATTCTACTTAGGTTGAGAACCGAGCACTTTAATTCACGTTTTCATACGGATCATAGTGTTTTCCGAAGATGGATGATATTTTCTTTCGTGTCTCAGCAGATTTGTTTGAACGCGATAATAGGCGAAACCAGAAATACACTCCACTTTGCCACAAACACGGCCTATGGCGTAGCCTGTTGCCAATGATTGGAGTTTGAACAAAACGAATATGCCAAAAGAAAAGATCTTCCAAGCCTATTTTATTGACGGGACGTAAAACCCTTGGGAGTTGGTAGTTTTGACAATGATGATGCACGAGCCTCTCCTGCATTTCAAACTTACAAGGACGACCGACCACGCAGAGCAGATGAGACAAATCTGAAGTTAGCTCCACCGTGTCCTTAAGAATATCCAATTAGGGAATCAACTCTGCTTTATACTAGCTCCATTGAAGCTTGGCAGGTAATTTATGTCACTCTTTCTATTTTTCCTCGTCCATCAACTCAAAAGTAAAAATATACCTCAGATTTTCACCTGCTTTTTATTCTTCAATTACTTCGCTCTACCTTCATGCCCTAGAGTTCCATCTGGATCAGTCTACACCTTCCAGACAAAACAGGAAGGCCGAACAATGATGCCATTCTACCGTTGGTGAAAAAGGATTGATGTATTCACGAAAATCTATAGACGTGCAGTCCTGATGATCAAAGAAAAATCTAGAGCTAGATGAGCTCTAACCACATAAAATTATCTGAACCCCAACGGCAGTTTAACATCAATCGCATCACCATATAAAGAGAGTTTATTTATTATACCTCCCCTACTCACATATGGAGTTAGAGAGAAAGAGAGTATTTAGGTTATTTGACCTTCGAATCAGAAATTAATATACAAGAGCCTTCTTCCAAAAAAACAGTAGACTGCATCCAACGATTCTAGCTCTTATGGTGCCAAATATGCATCTAAGCAGTCAAATTCTCTATATGATTCTCAAGTTGGACACATCTTGGATCATTCAGGGAAATATCATAATATTATCATATACTTTGTAGCAGCATGGTACATGATTTAACTCTAGATTGAGCTTCTTCCAAGCACGATCATGCATGAGTAAAATAAGTTTTAATCATACATGTTTTGACACTGAAATTAGAACATTTAAACCCGAGGTGATCAGTTTCTTTTTTTGCAAGGGATTCAAAGCTCTTACTATCTAAGATAAATTGACCCAGTACATAACATTCATATCAATCATGGCTCTAAACTGATAATCTTGATATATGTGTTAGTATCAACTCATTTGCATGAAAATATCAAAACAATGACAACACCATTCTACAAGAGACAAGATTACACAAACGTAAGGCAGTTCGCATGTAGGATAGATCCACGAGAACACTCTTTGTTTTATAGAATTGTTCAATGTGGTGAGTTTGCTCATCGCGCTAAGCAGTATAGCCGACACTTTAGTCCAGCCAAAACCCTAAAGTCAAAAGTATTCATGATAGGAATTAATCCTAACAAATTCCACCTTAACACATGTCGGAAGTATAGCAACCTCCTTAATCTATGTAATTACTTGGCGAGATGTCATAGAAGTAAATTAAAAAAAGTCTTCTCTTTAATCTAAAGTTAATTGGAAATAAACCGTAATCAAAATAGGTTAGAGTAAAAAAATATAGAGATAATTAAAATTACTAGAAAAATCTACTTGTGCTCCTCATGCAAAACCTGTATAGTAGCACAATGTTTATTAAAATTTTTTAAGAGAATAATTCTGGTAAATGTTAGCTAGATTGATTTTACCTTAAATCTTGACAAGCTGAAATTTTTATCAAAAATTACAAATTTAAATAAAGTGATGCATAATGTTGATGTGTTTCACTCTACTATGAATGATTTGATTTGCATCAAGATGTAATGCATCCTAACTACCACATTAAAAGAATAATAACCACATGTTTCATTGCCATCTTAGTGATAGCTTATACAACCAAATATCTTTCTTTGCTCCTTCTGCTGCCGCTACATACAAAGCTTCCGTCGTAAATTTATTGTTACGTTCGTAGAAAATTGGACAGCCAATTTCTATTACGAGAAATCAGACTAGCCCATGACCGATAAAGAAAAATTTATTGCAAACAAAAACTAGCATTTAGTGTGTAGAGATACAACTGGCTCCACGTATTGTACTTGTGGGTACGGCAGAAGTTGAAACAACAACGACGCCTGCTATGCCCTCTCTGTTG